ATTTTCTTTGTTTTTTCTTCTAATGTCATTTAACTACGACAGTAATCTTCGTAGTGGTATTCATAAAATTACAGTTTTATTGCTTTTAGTTTCGACAAACTTGAATGATCAAGTCTTCTTAGCTGCATGATAAGTATAAGATTGCAGCACAAAAAATTTTTCAATTTTCAAAAAAGCTAACTTATTTATTACTACAGTCATCTAACGTCACTTCTTGTTTCTTCGTTCTGGTTTGTTTTAACGCAATGAGTTATGTGTTTCAGAAGTTTCTACTGCTGAATGCCGGCGGTAGGTGATTTAGAAAATGTTAGACTAATTGGCCTTTTAAAAACAGATGGTTTGGTATTGCTGACTGTTTTTTTATTAGTTTGTTGTTAAAGACTATGTAAATTCCAATCAGTTCGGTTCCAGTTTTGTTTTGAAGTTGTGTTTAACTTCTGAACTTTGTTGCGGTACGAGTATTTAGAAGTGTGAAAAATTAACAAGCAGTAAATTGCGAACCAGCTGACTTCGCAGCAACAGCTTAACCATCTGGAATCGTTGTTTTACACTGTGGTCTTTAAAGTTTTAGCCTAAAATTGCTTGTATTTCTATGATAACCAACACACCGTCAAGTTTTAATTATTTTAAGCATTTATTAATTTAGCATATAACACTATTATAATTGCAGAATTCTTAAAACACTACATTTTGAATAAAAATCTTTTTACGAGCAGATCGGTATCTTAAATGAATAAATAAATAATCTGAAACGTTTTCAGGTTTACGTCAAATAAAAGTCTTCAGTTAAAGCACCAATCGTTTTGAGAACAAATAGCCTTACCCAATTTTTACAGCCAAGTTATGACTTATGAGTGAAAGACAGTAGCAACAAAAAACAGTTAATTTGATCTGATTTTGTCAAGCAAATTATAATATTTCACAAATATATCTTCCAGCAACAACAACAACAGACAAAAACACATGGTTTTTGAGAGTTTTTGTTTCAAATGTCATTCTTTTCTTCCAGTTTCTTCCATTACTAAAGAAATATTACTGAAACCATAATTTTCGACTATGGCGTTATAGCAGTTACATTTTTAAACGCCTACAAAACACTAAAAAAATACAATTGTTTTTTAGTTTTCAGTTTTTTCAAAGATGTTAAAGGTATATTTCAAAATAAAAATTATTTCCTCGTCACCTCCACCTATTATTCTGTTCTTTCCTCCATCTTTTTTATTTGTATTACTATATCTGAAAATCATCGTTGCCTATCTGCAGTAAACAGTGACAGTAAAAGATTAAATATCTATAGATTTAAATTTGTAAATCAGGTAACGTGTCTCACTAGGCTTAGTAACGCAATTTCGCTCTAATTTTTTTAGATTACTATACTTACAATTTGAATTTTAATTTAGCAAGAACTTATAGATTTTTTCACTGTTAAAAGTATTTGCCACTTCTGTCATCTTCTTCTTATGCTGCTGCTGCTGCTCCTAATTCTGCCTCCAACTCTGTTGCTGCTGTATTATTTTTGCTTTTACTATTATTGTTGTTATTTTGTTTTCTAAAATTTATTCTCTTTTTTTTTGATCTCTGTTAAAAAGCAGACTGTTTCAACCGATTGAGTGAAAATTGTTTATTCTTCTTTGAGAATTTATAAGACGAGTAACAGTTTGAAAGGAGAAGAGCATTACTGACTCAAAATGTTTGAAGACAATTATTTAGGCATTGTGGTTGTGTACCGTCATGTGAAGTTTTTATGCTTAAAAACAATATAAGGCTGACATCAAGCAGAACTCTTACTATCGGTGCTGTCAATCTATTGATTTCAGTTTTTTATAATTAATTCTTGCCTCTCCCTCGTTAACAAGCATAAACGTTAAGTTTCCTTATTCTAACCAACCATATTTAGTCAACCACTTAAGAGTTTTTACTCATAATGTCGACAAAACAGCATTTGAATGTTGTCGACAAAAAATGTTCAGATTTTGACATTAATCTAAGAGTTCTTCAACTGCTTAGCAGATAATTGCAGAATCACAGCAACAACACTTTTTGTTTATACTAATAACAAAACTATAGCATTAATGAAAATTTCTGTTCTTTGTAAACGAAAAGCATTTAAAACAACAAAAAAAAGTACGATTTTTAAAAAAATTTTAGTTTATTACTTCTTGAAAACTCAAATCTAGCCTAACAAATTTCAGTGCTAATTAGCTTTCTGATTGGGCAGCCGTTTGTTATTAAGAAAGAAGAAAGTTGTTGTAAGTCCCACTGTAAAACAAAAAAAGTCGTTCTGTTTCAATTTAAATCTTTGCAATAAAAATAACCGTGTCATGAGATACTTTTAAATCAATACAGAAGAAGTTGGAAACTTTAAGATTCTAGATTTATTAGCCAATAGTTTTGTTTTTCTGATACATTAATTGAGTGTAAAAACATGATCAGATTCAGTAGAAGTGCTTGACTCTAATTCAGAAGGATCTGATACAAGACATCTGTTCCTAAACTTATTTATTTATGACTGCTCGTTCGGTTTCAAGCTGCATTTAGATCGTTTCTGTCGTCATTATCATTATCTACTCATCGTTTTCGTTCGCTCTGACGGTTAAAGCTGTTGTGTGGTACAATTTCATTTCAGTTGTGTGGTACAATTTCATTTTTTTTACGCCAGAAATTCCCTTCGTTTTTTTATAATTCTCTCCTAATTAAACACGCCTTTCTCCTGCTAAAATAAATCATCTAAATTCGAATCTTGAACAAGTTGAAAAAGATCAAAAACAAAACTAAATTTGATGCGCAACCAAACAGATTTTAAGAGCAACTCAGAATTGAAATTTCTGTTGAATTTTTATTTTTCATATTTTGAGTTTTATCTTTGTTTTCGTAAATTTTTTTCTTCTTAAGATCCTGATAACTGTGAAGAGTTTTTATTGACTGTTGGCAGTTTTAGTTGTCACAGCACGAAAAGGAATCTGTTTGAATGCAGTGTTTGACAGTCACTTTAGTTATTCAATATGCAGCATTTATTCATTTTATCAGAGCTGCTAAAAGCAATGATATATTCTCATATTCAGCAGCAATCGAACGACAAAGTGAAAACGGCGATGTTCGTATTATCAATGTTATTCTAAGTTGATTTTTTTACATCATTTTGCTAAAGTGAGCTTCTTTCAAAGAAATGCTCCGACAAAGACAGAAATTAGTGTAATAAAAGACATCTGTGCTTGATAACAACTAAGCATTTGCAAATTTATGTCTATATGTAACCGAAATTTAAGTTTTTACAGCTAATTAATTACCTTTTACTTATTCAAGCGCTCTTTTCTCAAGTAATTAAGTTATGATAAAACTTTTGCAGTTTAAAAAATTGATGACTTTAACAAGCAAATATCAAGAACCACAACTTACAAATGTAATCCATCAAACAGTTCCAAATAAAGTCTTTAAAGGTAGCATTTTTGAGTCTTAGTTTAGTACCGTACTAAATCCATCTTTGTTTAAAACTTATGTAATTTTTAATGTGTTTTAAAAACAAGAGAATGAATTTCATTCAGCTAACAAACATTTTTGAAACAATTATTTTACTAGTTTCAAATTACGAGACTGTAAGCATAAAAATTTTCAACTTTGCAAAAAAAAAGTAAGCGAAAGATACTCTTTGGTAAGAGGTGCATATGAACAAGAAAAGAGAAGTAGCTTATAAATTAATGATACTATAAATTGTAAAAACTTTCTTAAACTGAAAGGCAGTTTTGTATCGTTTAGCTCCTTTGACAGTAACTGTAAACGCTCTCATTGAAAATCAACGTCCTAGTATAAGGCCAAAAAGATACTCAAGAACATTTGACTGGTCAGATGTCGATAGCTGCGGTAATCGAACTCAAGTTTTGACCGAGCTAAGAAAAATTATAACTCAGGAATTCAAAACAGAAACCAGGCATGAAGCAGCAACTTTTATCAAAAAAGCTAAACGTCTTAACCAAGTGGCTCGCGAGCTGGAATTTCAGTCTGAAGAGCTAAAAGTGAGAGCAGGTGAGCAGAACAGAGCAGTTCGACAAGACGCTCAATTTATGAGTGACCAAATCGAGAAACAGGTAGAACATCTGCGAGAACAAGCCAATGCGATCCGATCACAAGCTGACGAACAGTCGGTGGTGATCCGGCAACAAGCAGAAGAAATCAAACAATTTTCTGAAAAAGACTATCATCACATGATGAAAATGGCTATTACCATTGCTCAACAAGGTCGAAAACAGGTTGAGATTGTCAGAAAACAGGCTGGACAACTTCGAGTTAATTTACGAGATCAAATTGAAATGATGAAGTTACAAAGCGAAACGCAGGCTTCACAAATGGAATTGCAAGCTGAGCAGCTTAAAGAACAAGCTGCTATATTTCGACTCCAATCACTGAAGTATTCCGAACCAGGTTTGAATTCTTTTTTTTTCCACTGTTACTTTTTATTCAAACGAGTCTCGCAAGTTTACGTTTATAAAAAAAATATATCGTTTTACATCACCAGAGATTCATAAGGATTATTTCCAGCTGAACAGATCTTACGTGGGCTTGACGCAATAACAGAACTGATGCAGAATCTGTAAGTTAGAACCCAGTTGTGAAATGATCTGCTAATGCTTTCGTTACCATTTTGACGGATTAAGTCACTAATCTTCTTTCCGCTCCTTTCCCCTTTTATACTACAGAAAACGAACAAATCGACAAACATCTATTAGCTGTATTTCGAAAAAAAATACTAAATCTCAAGTTTATGTACCAAAGCACTGAAACAAAAAGTTTCAGGTTTTCAGTTGTTCACGTTTAAACTGCCATCTTTTTCTCGCAGTTCCTCTTATTTTTCTAGATAAATATCTAGTCAAATAAAGCAAAAGTATTTAATTCTTTTGAAACAGGTAGTAACCAAATAAATGCAAAAAGTAGTCATATATATAATAGCGCTAAAAAAATGTTTCCGTAACTGATCAGTTAGGTTTTAGTTTAGTAATAGGCATGATACTGAAAAAAAAAAAAAAACACTGAAAAATGTATCGCTGTGTCGAGTTTTTCTTCCAGAAAAACAAAAAAGTCAATTTTACAAACTGCAACTGTTAAAAAATTTTTTTGTTCTTTTGCAAGTTTTTTGTTTTTGTTTTTTTTTTTAAATGACTTTTCTCGACAAGAACTTTTTATTATTTTTAGAAGAAAACATAAAAATATTGACGAAAATAGGGTGTAGGGGTAAATTTTTCAGAAATTTTCTTGGTATAATTTTACGTTTGATTTGTAGACTTTGTAAAAGTCTGGAATCTTGAAGAAAACAACAAAAAAGCTGCAAATTTTGCTAATGACTTGACAATTAGAAAAAAAATTTTTGTAGCCGTATTTGAATTAACCGCATTCTCCGCCTCTGTACCGTCTTTTTCTCTTCTCTTTCCTTCTTCTTCCCTTTTCAAAACTCATTATTTCCCCTGTTCCTTTGTGTCTCATTGATTTTGGTATTTTTTTGATGAAATTATGGCTTTTCTTCTGTGTAAAATACACTTTGTGCCCAATACAACTGCTTTATAATCTAAAAAAATGTCAACAAAAAGCAGTATAAAAGGCTTTGTATAACTACGCGGTTAGTGACATCAAAAAAAAAGTTAACAACCATTGAAAAAATTCTATTTGCACTTTCAATCACAGTTACAACTTGCGATCCAGATGATTTAAATTTATGTCTTTGCATTTTTCCAGCTTTATGACAAAACCGTAAACAACCAAAGCGTAGTACTAAAAAAAGAAAAAAAAAAGGTCATTTTTTTGGATGGAAAACGGAATTTCGCTTGGAATAATGCTGAAATAAACAGAGTTTTACGTAGGCTGGCGACAAAATGTGTGAAGTATGGTGAAAGTAACAGTTCAGTAGACAGTACCTTGTCGTTCTATTGGTAAAGTTTTTCTGTTTTTAAACTTATACTTTTGATCTTTTTTAAAAAAATCTACAAAAAAAACTGAAGTGACGCGACGATGCAAATACAGACAGCTGAAAGTAGACAGATGATAAATTGACAAAAACAATTGGTTAACACTTATAATTAATCAAAAAATTATGACTATATAAAAATTAACAGCAAAAAAAAATTTTGCGCTTTGATTAGCGAACAAGAAAATAAGGAAAAAAAAAATGTGATTGAGTGTTGAAAATGTGATTGAGCGTTTTGACTAGTGTATTAAAAAAAAGATCGAAAATCATAAAAATAAAGGAATTCAGAAGCTACACTATCAATTTAATGGTACAGAAAAGAAATGAAAGAAATTTGGTTAATCTTTAAGTTTTGGTTTAGTGAACCTAAAGGTGCAGTTTAGTCGTTTGTCAGTTCCATCACATTTTAATCAGAGTAGCATACAAGTAAAATACACTTTAAAATTACTAACAGTTAGGCGAAAGACAGCGACGCTGTTAGCTGTTAGCAACAGTAATCAAGCAAAACTTTAAATATTGTACAAACTGGCCTAGAAATCAAGTTTCACTTAGCGACTAATCTATGTTCTATGAAAACAACATTGTCATAAAGACTAAACTCGGGAACAAAGAATTATAAAAGTCGGCAATACTTCCAACTTCGTTTTTACTGTTCTCTCTTTCAAATGTCATCTGAACAGCTGACCTATAAGCATTTTTTGTGACTTTGCTTTTATTTCTCTTTATTGTAGAGCCAATCAAGTAAATTTTTATGTGGTTTTAACAACTTAAATAAAATTTCATACTGGTTTTTATGTACATTTTTTGTTTGACACGTAAACACCAAAAAAAAAAAAGTGGCTATATGTCATTATCAATGCTGAAGCAGCTAACTCTTTATTTGGGTTATGAAACGAAAGAAGAATTAGAAGAAGTGTAAAGGCGATAGAGCAAAGATAAACAACGATAATACAAACTTTCTCAGAACATATTGACATAATCCAAAATTTTTTTTTTTTTGTTATTGACAGATTACCTACAAAAAAAATTTTAACTTTTATCAATACGTCTAAATTTTTTTTCTGTTATGGCTGTACTACACAGTCTAAAAATACATTTACTCTCATGCATTTATAATGTTTTTAGAATAAATGAAAATTTACTGATATATACTTTTAAGTTATTGTTCTAAAAACCTGTAATAGTACAAAAACTTTTGAATTTTTTTTATTTCTAACGACAATTTTTGGTTGATATCGTTTATCAAAAGTATTGTTCAAGGTTTTTATACGTTGATTAATTCAAAAAACTCAGCCAGTTTGAAATTTTCAACTTTTTTTCTGATTTCTGACAATTTTTTTTCCTAATTTTTTTTTAATTTGCAGCGTTTTATCAAAGCAGTTAAACTCTCAATTTCTATAGCAGTCAGTTAAAGTTGTAATAGATTTAATAATTATGTCGCTATTTTTGTACAATTTTATTAGTGAATTATATCAATTTATAGTTCATTAAAAAAATCTTTTAAATTGGAATAAAACTAGCTAAAAAGTATTTATAATCAACTTAACAAGCCAAAAAATTATTCGCTAGTTTAGTAAAAGAGCTTTTGCAAGTCAAGGTAAACAAAATTAAGAGGAAAATACTTTCTTTTACTCTGTTTCTGAGTATCATGAAGTGCAAGAGCAAAATTCTAAACTGTATTGCAAAGATAAATATTTACCTTTGTTTGACAAAAGTTTGAGCTCCGGTATTCTTCTAAAGCAGCATTTCTACCTGCCGTTGTAGTTGCTTTGAACAGTCAACTTGTCATCGAAACTTTCTCTGCCGCAATCGATGATCGTGCTGTCTTTTTTAACCAAAATTCATGAAGCAGACGGAATAATTTCAACCGCTGCTGGAAACGACATCGCTGTTTACAGTACTTTTCCACTGATAAATATTTTTTACCAACTTTATCTGACATTGACATTTTACCACTGTTATTTGAAAAAAACTGAAACAATAAAAGTATTACACTGTATTTACTACGCTTTGACAATTTACTAGAAAATTGCCTGTGCTTTCGTTTTAATTTTTATATTTTAGTCATTATATTTGCTTGTTTTTTTTACCTATTAGTATTAATTCAGTCTACAAGAACTTGCCGATTTGAAATTTTTCACGTCTAAATTAAAAAACTTTTCAAAAAAAAAAAAAAAA